AAGGAGTGTAAGGTTTAGTGTAATTTTACGAGTATATCAAATTTGTCAACCTCCTCAAGAAGGTACAGTAGAGCCTCGATTATCCGACTCAATTGGGGACTGGGGTTGGTCGGATAATTGAAAAGTCGGATAACCGAAAAGTATGAAAAAATCCATTATTAATGTAGTAAATTATTATATCCTATGTAATTAGTATATTAGTATATCGCTATTAACCTAATTCGCGTTGAATTTTTATCGATGTTAAGCCTAACAAAAATTTTTTAAAATTATAATCGTCGCTATTGTATCGTTAAAATATAGAAAATTAATCCTCGTATACTGGCTCCCTTTCATGGTCGAATGAGTGTTGCCAGCTAAAACACGTAAAAATAATATTAAAGCAGCCAAGACATAGGCAAATATTGTAGCGCTACATCACTAGCGGACATTTGAAATTTGCCGACTAGGACGGTCGGTTANATTATAAAGATATGCAATTTGGACTAAAGATAGGCAGTTAAGCCACCATCTTGTATTAAATTTAAAAATTAAAAATAAATTCATTAATTTAGAATATTCTTGAATGGCAAGTGGCCTGACTGGTTAAATCTTCTAAATTAATTGGTCTGGAAGCAAAAACCAAAGATCTGATTAGTGTAATTGGCAACAGACCTTCACAATAAGCAGGAATTGTGGATTTAAGCACCATTCCAGATCAATCTTTTCTTCCAGAATATTCTAAATTAATGAATTTATATCTAATTATTAAACTTAATACAAGATGGCGTCTGACGCCTCCGTCTAGGACAAAGTAATTAGTAAGTAAAATTTTAATCGCCGGAAAATAGCACTATCTTATACGGCAGTTGGTTTGGTATTATCCTAGTACATGTGGTCAAATTTCATTAAAAAAAGTTGCATTTTTTTTAGCTTTAAACACGAAAGAAATCATTAAGTAATTCAAAGATAATTTGCGGAAATTTAATAATCTTTATTTTTCACATCGTAAACAGTTCCCAGCTTTGATATTCTTAATTCACATTCGAGTTTATACTTTACATTTACACTTGAAAAAATCGCAGGTTCCTCCTCTATGTCCAGCTTTCTTACAACAAACTTCACATTGACCGTAGTATCCATATTTTGCGCATCTTGATTTGTTGACGCAGCTATCTCTGTCCATTTCCACACCTTAATTGTAAAATAGTAAAAATTATATAAAATTTTAACATAATATCGTTATTGAGTGTAGTTTAAAAATATAAATCGGCTAATAACTTAACACGTTATATCTATATTTTTCCTGATGTAACTATGCAAAAAGAGATATTCATGTATTAAATGAACTGCGAATATCAACCTTATCTTTGACCAGTGCAACACGACGTTTATGTCGTGACCAGAAGCAATTTCATGAACACATTTTATACAATAACGAGACACTTTTGCTGGAAAGTAAACGTGCAGTTGCTAAAATCGCACAGAATGCTTCACGATTGACTCAAGTTTTGATTTACACTAAACAGCTGAATATGGCATTAGGAATGAGCGAGTTCGGACTAGCGATTCTATCTTAATTGCTTTAACCATGACCACTACCGTTTTTCTCAATGAGTTCTTGGAGCAACTGTAGTAAGTTTGGTACTACAGCGATCAGTTCCTTCTCAGTCAGACATGTGTCAGTCGCTAAAACAATGGGTGGGATTACCAACGTACAGGACAATGTGATTTTGCCGAATGGCCACTACGTTTCCCAGAATTAACTCTGCTATGCTTTTTTTCCTCGGGGTGAGATAAATTCCTCACTTTACAATGCATACCCAGTAACGCTGTGTAATATTGGCCAGCTGGAAGGGTAAATATGGAGGCTGTAGGTTTGCTAAGTGTCACCCGTAATACACATAACACCCGAATTATTGGGCAATTTAAATACTAAAACCACTTCAGCGTGTAAATCAATTATCTAAATCTCATTTGCAAAATTAATACTTAAAAATTCTCACCCATTATCATGACAGAAGCGATGATCAAGATCACGATCAAAACTTTCATTGCCGTCTTAAATTGTCTCTTCAAATTTTAATTAAAGAGAAACAACGTTAGTTAAGATACTCCGATTTTGGCATATTTATATTTAACTTTATGAAATATTCTCTTTTCTCATTGGTGTATTTTCACATGTGTTGATTCACGTTATGTGTAATTTTCGATATTTTATGGACGGTAATAAAATATAACGAATTTCCTAATGTTCGAGGACGATTAATATTTATGTTATTAAAATAAAAATAATTAAACTTATTTTTAAGAATTTTTAACGGGATCTTAAAATTAATGCTAATTGATTTTTTCGAAATGTAAACATCATTCTCACATTAAGTTAAAATATTCTAGCAATGGGCTGCATAACTTTTTTGGCTGTCATAAGAGTATATAAAAAATAAGTTTTGTATAATTAATTACAATAAATAAACGTATATTATCCTATCTGTTACGAGATTTTATTTAAAAAATAACTTTTATACTATGAATTATAACAATACAAAAAAAAACAAGATTCAATTTTGAGGATAAAGATGGGTTTTTAAAGTATTATAAATGCCAATAAATTTAAATTTTGTAGAAGTTCGACTCTATAGATATATGAAAAACGTACCCCTCTGATTTTTAAAATGATAATTAAATTGAGAATGAAAACATTTAAATGTTACTATTTCTATTTAAGCTCTATATATGTAGATTATTGATAAAATATGATAATTGATTTTTAATATTCTATACACTTGCGCCAAGAGATTAAATTCTATACTTATTATTACTTTATTGTTCTGAACTTTTTACATTTATTATTTTCTACTTGATTGAATAAAAAGAACGAAACGATTGTTTTATAACCGAAACCCATTTAATTTATACAGTATATTGAAGGTATTAAAGCATTTTATGAACAAAGAAGTAGTCTTTATGAAGAGGAATAATATTTCAAGCCAGATGTGGAATGACTTCTATTGTATCGCTGATGTTTGTGTATTTCCGATATCACTCATTGTTATTTATTTTATTGAAACATTAAATGGAGATAAAATACTTACAGATGGAACTTCTGACTATAATTTCATACTTCGTTAAGGAAGTTGCCATTTCTAAATGCATTTATTTTTTTATATGTTTTCGTTTCCAGTCTAGCTTAAAGCGAAAGCTTTAAATGTTAAGGTACTGAGAAAATAAAGAGTGATCATATTTGTTGCTTAGACACTATGCAGTGTAATAAATTCAAACACTTGGCATTCTTTCATTTTTTATTTTAGATCAGTTGATACGCGTTTTAAATACACGTTTCGGACGTAACATTCCTCTCTTCAGCCAACTAAAAACTATAATCAAATACATACAGTACATAATCATTTATATGTATTTTTTACCTTTTATGATGTTTTTTTTTATTCACATACCTCGGGTGTTTCACGAACTGAACTCTATTGGGTGAGTACATTATATGTATACGGCTTACACATTTATTACTGTATACCTATTTGAAACAAATATCATTAATATAGTATTAATCATTACAATATATTGATTTTCACAATCTATATAGCTATAGTATTAACGTTTCTTCTTTATTATTCTTTTTGGGCCAATACTATTTATGCATTTTAGCTCAAGTGTAAAATTTTACTTGTTACTCGATTACCATCACTTTACTGTACATCTTTCAATGAGAATTTTTGTCTAATATAAATATTACTTTTGTGCATACTTTTTGCATGAATATCGAAAGCTTATGTAAATGCATGTAAAAAAATATACATATATCATACGTAGACCTTTGAAACAATAAGAACACAATGGGAAGAATTAGAGAAGAATCATTATTTTCGCATTAACAAAAGAGAATGTTGATTCTACGATAAAATGGATCATCTGGAATCTTTTTACAATGAAGAAAAGGATGAATTAACAAGCCGAAAAGATGCTCTGGTGGTCTTGCTACATCGTTACTTAATATAAAATGGATTTGATTGCATGGGTGTGGGAGAAGACCGAAACTGACAAAATGCCCGAAAGTTCATATCAGAGAAAAATGAAAAAGAAATCATAGTGTTTTCATCTACAGCAGCGAATAAAACGTCTTATTCTAAGGAACATACGTCAGAAACAGAAGAAATTGCGAATATAACGCAAGAGAAACAACTACCAAGATTTTCAACTAAGGTCGAATGAATGCCAAGAGAAATACTGTGAAGAAAAAAGCTTTCGAATCTTCTTCAAAAACAAGTGAACAGGAAGTTCCTAACAAGAGAAAGAAAGTTCCTACAAAATATAGGTAAACAAACGATTTTTACAATAATAAAAATTTTTTAAAACATATCACAGTTTTCTTTATTATTATTATATATTTGATACATATTACTCACTCGATCTAATTTTCAGTATTTTACTCAGTAAACAACATTGAAATGTCGAATATTCTGCAATAAAGAATTAAACAATAAAAAATTGATTTAACTACAGTCATAGGCATCTTTCAACGAATTTGTCTTCTTAATTGTGTCATATAACAATTGCAGAATTCAATACCCAAGAATCGTATATTAGAAAAATGTTTATCGGTGAAGAAGTCGGTCGTAATTATTTATATAAAATTATAATCTCCTTAATTATAACTGGGAAAATTTAATTACAAAGAGAGCTTTCGGGGTGAGTAACATGACGCCATATTTGTTGACAGCTGGAGAAATAACAACAAGATCGAAGGTGACTTTAGTATTAAACGAGGTCCTATTGTTTTATATTTCAGAAAGAATTGTATATTATCGAGAGATTTTTACGCCGTTTATAACCTAATATTGTGTATGTATTTGATCTAATTATATATTTTATATTGTTATATTTACTGGTTACTTAATGTTGCAAATTCATGCGTGTGCTATACATGTGTGTCAATACAAATTGTATAGTAACAGTTTACGTTTATGTGCACGTAGAGAACACAGTGTACATAAATACACTAAATATATAAAACTAAATCACTTTATTAATCTATATGACAGAAGAACAGATGAGGTGCATTCAGAAATAACAGATGCCGTTCCTACCTTTAACATTACTACACGCATCTGAAATAGATGAACAATTTTAGATTGTTATACATATTTTAGCGCAAAAATCGAACAAAATTTCTTACTTTTTCCCGATATACATGGGCAAAAACTCCTGTATATCTCTCCCTTTAACACCGAATTACTACACATTTCCCCCTTCAATGATTTGGGTGAACATTTTCTACTGTTGTCAGTCTTCAAGCAACACCCACTCAAACATTCTGCACTGTTGATGCAATATTCTCCATTCGATAAACCGTGTTTGTATGGCTGAAAAGAAAAGAAATACATAAAATAGTAAACAACTTGCCTCTACATATCGAAATACAGTACGTGACAATATCTATATAATATATTGAAGCGTAACATGTAATATGTAACACATAAAAATGGATATACAAATACATTAACTTACGATGATCTCATCGGTGAGCGAGTTGATCATACGCTGTTCCATATAACCATCCTGAGTTAACACAGCATTAACCAAACACAGAATAACTATTAATACACGGAACGAATTCGCCATGTTTGCTGACAAGAAACTGCGAGACAGGCGAAAGCCAGTAGGTATTTATTCTCAAATTACGTCGCAGTCTAAGAAAGAGGTTACTGTATGACGTCAATCTTTAGATTACAGGCATATTGTATAGTAATTGTTCGATAAAACGAACTTTGTATATTTTTCTTAGGTGAGTCAATGTTTTCAATTTGTGTAAATATAGTTACTACATCCGTCATTGCAATGCGTCACTCGGAATAGAGGTACTTTACGTGTTATTAATATAAAATCTGTTTTGAAAGCATTGCCTAATGTTTACACACTACTTTTAGAAACTAATAATAAATATAGTTTATATAAAGTCGAAGAAATAAACACAGGATATTCGTCAAATTTGCATACTGTTATTTAAATTATCTAAAGAAGTGAGGAATGAGCGTATAAATCTGACAATTCGCGTTATTCTATTGTTTTCTTATCCATTGTTTCGTTGTCCATCCTTCTGTTGTCTTCACTTGTTGTAATTATTCGTAAAACAGAAAAGTGATGTAAACCCCGAGCTGAGTATTGGTAACTGAATGTAAAATTATACACTATTAAATAACTTCATTGTGAGCTGGAAGAAAAGGAAATAGAACAAAGACACGGTTTCGACAAATAGAAAAAAAAAATACTAAATAATTGTTTTTCTCCTTGTCAGATGGCGCAATTATACGCATCTCTAGTGAGATGTACGATAGGAACAAAGTGACATTCTATTGTATTTATAAATGTCAATAGGGAATGGCGTATATTGCTTTAGTGAAAATTACCCCTTTGAAGGACACCTGGTGATCGTAAATGAATGTACTCTTATCGACACTTTATTTAGATATTTAGCGGTATAATTGCGACGAACTCTGGTATGATGACGTTCCGACGACATTTCTGTCAAAATTTAGTACCAAAACTCACCTCTGTTGTTCTTTTGGCACTGCAAGCAACAAACTTCTGGTGATGAAGAGTGTCTTAATTGCCGTTCTTGCGTGATGCTTCTCGCCCTCAGTGTGATAAGATCTTTTAAGGCAACAAAATTTGCAACCTGTCCTAGACAAACCACGCTTTTTAAGTGCCACATAAATATCAATTATCATATATCACAGGGATTAAAATCGAAATCGCCGTAAGTTCCGTAGTAATGAGTTTCGACACTAATTTTTTACGTAATATCTTCCACTTGTCTCTAAATTTCAACAGATTTAGTGGCATTTTGACTGCCAAATATCCTTCTAGACTGGGAAGAATAGAAGAGTTTAACCTTTATACTGTTGAGTGACGAATTCGCCACGTGTCTATCACTTAACTAGAGGTACATTTGGGAGGAGTATTCTTCCTTTTGAGGAAGAATACTCCTCCCAAATATAGATGTATACGTTGATTATACGTTGATTACCTCACCTCGTCCATCCAATCCTTAACATTTAAATATTTAAATTAATTTTGATTGACTTCCGTCCTTGTCCTACTTAATAAATGTATTATAAATTTATATTTTTAATGGAGTGAATCGTTATGAAGTTTCTTAAAGGCACGAGCCGCCATATTTATAAAATCTATAAAAATAAAAGTACAATTCTCCTCAGAGTTGTTTAGTTACAGACCAAAAATTCTTAGAAATATATCATTACAATTTTTAAAAATTAATTTGTTTGTTTCTATCCCCTGCAGCTGTAATTTCTTGCTAAAACTTCCTGTTACCATTAAAAATAACATAAAAATTGTTATATAATATAGAAAACAAATCATTAATCGTATGTTTCATAGTTGTAAGGCTGGAATTTTGTAAATTACTCGTAAATAAAGAAGTAAATAACTAAATAAAGATGACAAGTAACAGATGTATAAACATATAAGTTATATTATGAAACGTAATAAGGAAATTGTTCAAGGAAAGTTAAGTGTAACAGTCGAAGTCACTTCGATATACAACTGTTAAGGTGAGTTAATACCTTGCATATTGTTATAAGAGTTATATATTAAGATATGATATAAAATAATATAAATTTAATTTTCTTGAGTGAATTAATTCTTGAAAGTCGTCGTAAAACGAGTTATCACAATGACCTTAGACACAGTAACTAATTTAAGGTTTCATTTCTAAAAATATAATATTTAATACACACCGAGATGAGCAATAAAAACACAACATTCGTTACGGTCTTTATAGAAAATTTACAGCAAAATAAAAGGTGAGTGTTGTAAAGCAGGGTATTACTGCATACTCTGTCCTATTGATCTGGAAACTTGAAACTTATGTTGATCTTTACAGCATTCTTTTGTATGTTAAAATATGCTGCTGAGTAAACACAGTCAATGTGAAGTTGCTGGAGAATTTATAGAGTAGAAATTTAAGTGAACGTTGCTACCCGGAAATGCAATGTATATATGACTTTTTATGATAATCATTATGCATATTATAGATTTTTAATTATACATTAGTAATCTAATACAGTAAAGCCTCGAAAACTCGGCACTCGATAACCCGGCACTCCGGATAATTCGGCCACACCCTGGCAGGGCAAAAATACCCTTAGATAATTAATCTTCATCATAGACAGCTTTATGCATCATAAAGTATTTTTCTGAGGTCTGTCTTATCTGGTAAATTACTGTACACAGTGTATTCATTAATTTTCATTTTCATGTAGTAAAGGCTCTATGTCTTCATAAAGTACGTACATTTCCTTTGTTTAAGGATATTTGGGCAGGTTATTCTCTGTTGTATACAAGTCAAGCAAACAATACATACAAGTACAGTACAGTATTTTCTGAGGAAACACGCATACTTATCCTTTTTTAACCCCATTCCCGATAACCCGGCATTTTCACAAACTCGGCCACCATTCGGTCCACATTAGGCCGAGTTTTCGAGGCTCTACTGTATTATTTTTATATTGTTTAAAATAAAAATGTAATTTAATTATTTTTCATAGTTACAGATGAAGTCGTCGGCACTAATAAAGATTGCATTTGGAATTTTTCTTTTGTTTCAATGCATGCAAAAAGCACACAATTCTCCCATCTTAGGGAAAGTTTCGGGCAAAGTATTAAAAGTTGGGGATAAATATGTTCATGCTTACTTAGGTATACCATACGCAACTCCTCCAGTTGGAAATTTAAGATTTCAGGAACCTCGACAAGTGAGAGCTTGGAATTCTGTTTATAATGCAACACGGAAACCACCCGCGTGCACACAAGATTTCTTCTATCCCTTTGAAGAATGGCCGAGACGTGATCCAAAAGACATTAGCGAAGACTGTCTTCGGATCAATTTGTGGGTTCCAGCGTCTAAGCCGTATTGTGAACCATTTGCTACCATGGTTTGGATTTACGGTGGTGCATTTTTTAGTGGCAGCTCAAATGTGGATATTTATGATGGCTCGATTTTGGCAGCGGTGGGAAATGTTATCGTTGTCTCATTCAATTACCGTGTTGGAGCATTTGGTTATGCAAATTTCGATCAGGAAGGCGCGGGTAGAAATATGGGAATGTTGGATCAAGTGATGGCGTTAAAATGGGTTCATCGAAATATAGAAAATTTCGGTGGTGATAAAGATTTGATAACGATATTTGGTGAAAGTGCAGGATCCATGTCAGTTGGGCATCATCTAATCTCACCAATGACAAAGGGGTTATTCAAGCGAGCAATCATGCAAAGTGGTAGCAATTATCACGACAAGTTTATAGTAGAACCTAAAAAGAACATAGAACTGACTCTCAAATTCGCTAAAGAATTAGGTTGTACTGGGATCAACGTGTTAAACTGCATGAAGGATGTAGACCCTTTTGATATTGCAGCCATCGAAAAGAAATATGTACTAAACACACAGAGAGGTGCAAGTTTCGTTCCAGAAAAAGGACCTCCATATCTTCCCGAGGATCCATTTCATAATATTGATGTTGGCAAATTTCACGACGTAGATGTTTTGATAGGAGAAAATAAGGACGAAGGTTCATTTACTACATTTCTATTTAAGCCAGAGGTATTGAATGAAGAGAATCCCGTTATGTCAAAATCGGAAGTTAAATCATTTTTAGGTAAATTCTACGATATAAATGGTGAACGTCTCGATCGCATTGTTGAAGAATATTTAGGAAACGTATCCGAAGAAGATTCTTCCTTTACTAACCTGAAACAGTTCACGAAAGCTATAGGAGACGGAACATTTTCTTGTCCTATATTGCATCTGACAGAGAAACTGTCGAGATTCAACAGGAAAGTCTTCCATTACACCTTCAATCACACTCGAATTAAATCGGGAACGAAGAAATGGGTAGGAGTAACTCATTTTGAAGATGTTTACTTCGTGTTTGGAATGCCTTTCGTAAGAAAGGACGACTTTACTTCAGAAGAATTACAATTTAGCAAGAAAATAATTGAACTGTGGACTTCTTTCGCCAAAACAGGGTAAGTCCATAAATGAATAAATAAATAACCACAATAGTAATTCTATAACGTTGAATTTAAAATAAATAATTCTATAATCTCTAATATTTCGCAGCCAATATTTTAAAATTTTTGAACTTATACAGAAATATAACTAAATATTTGAAATACATGGAATTCATTTTTTATTTGTCACAACAAAGTTCACTCGTTATTCAGTCGCTTATACGTCAAGAATATGATCTGTGCGGACAGAATTTAACTGTACACGTATAGAAGAGTGCTTTTCCAATGCGTGTTAGTATGTCTAATCCTATTTGCATGCACTCGCCACAAGTGTTTTCTTACAGTGTCTGCCTTTTGTAGGAAAACTTGATCTTCTAAGAAACTAAAGTTAGAGATTCTTACGATTTTCTTAGTGTTAATTTAGCCTTATTTTGTACTTTTTCAGGAAACCTTGTTACAACGGAATGGAATTCGAATGGAAGACATTTGACGAGGAAGAAAGAAACAGTCTGTCGTTAACTCTAGGAAACTTTCATCTGGGAAAAGCAACAAATGAAAAGTGCAGATTTTGGCAGAAATTCTATGAATATAACTAATTTTGAAGAAAAATAATTAACGTTGAACGTGGCTATTCACTTAAATTAATCAAGTAAACACGGGGCATGACAGAAGGTATCACATTTGGTTAATTAATACGTAATGGAGACGGGGTATTTCATGTAGCAATGGGTTTAAATAGTGACTGGTCTCAAGTTATCTTTTTTTAAAGAATAATTTGTATATATTGATAAATAAATTTGTTATATTGTATTACAAGATCTATAAAATGGTTGTGTTTAAAATTTTATTCTATTTTTCAGGATAAAAACACGAGAAACTGAAACACAGGGTCAGTATCTATTTATACTCAGAAATAAGTAGAGCCTTATACGCAACAAGTTGATACAAACATCGAGCAATTTGTATTTTATTATAAACAAGAATAGATATTTTCTGATTTTACAAGTCACCAAAAAACGTGTTCGACATTTCATGTTTAAAAAACTTTAACGCATTTAATTAAAAACAGAATTTTTTATGTATAAAATGCATACAAAATCTCTATCTAGTTTCATATTATAATGTGTTTCAACGTAAGCGCCTCTCGTTGCTATAAAAACATCGAGCGTATCTGTGTTCGGGTAAGCTCGATGTCTCTCTGTCAGATGCATTCTCAGTTACGAATTTTCTCTGCGAGGATTATATCCTAAATTTAATCCCGAAAGAAAAAGTGTAAAAGAACCAGATAGGGCATCTTGATGGCAAAAAATAGGGCTTTCTCCGGAAATCATGGTTGAGTGCGCCCCAATATTCAAACTCTAAACGGGGAAGTCATTCAGTGGCCCGAAAGAAAGCTGCTAATGTTTTCACACAATTTAATACAATATATAACAAAGAGATCGTTTCCCAAGTTGTTTGACATTAAAATCATGGGCACCTTTTCCCATAATTCTGTATTTAAGTGTTCAGAATTACTTTTCTTTCCATTTCGTTTTCCTTTCAGCTGATTTTTTTTTTATTTTGGGAAACAAAAACATCTCTTGACGCCAATAAAAAGTACCCATTTCAAAATTGTAATCTCGTTTTATTTAGAAAAATCTTCCTCCTACGGAGGAATGACGTGACTTTACCACGAATAAGAAATCATGAAAATCTGAAGAAACACACTCCAGTTGTTTCACACATCACAAATTACCTTTTCGTTTCAACGAGATTTGCATTCATGTTGTTGCAATAATGAAACAGAAGAAACAATACATCGAAAGCATTATTAAGACAATAATAGAGCAACGAAAATCGAGTAGCAACCAGTATGGAATATCTGAGAAATCTTTTTGAAGTGACGAAAGATGAACTCACATGTCCCGAGGATGCTCTGGTACTCTACATGCATTGCGTTGCCCTATCCATGAACATGCGTCTAGTGGGTATCGGAGCGGAATGGTCTTCCCAATGCGAACAGATAGAATCGGGTCGTTTGCCAGAAGGTTGGAATTCGAATCGATCACATTATCGCATAAGATACGTGGACAAATATGAGGATCGATACCTGCTGCACGTGTCGAATAACGAAAGCTGCAGATATCTTTTTGTCTCTTGGACCGATCCAGATACAGAAAATGTCAACGTTAATACCTTTGTAACAGAAGAATATGCAGGAGATTGTTGGAAAGAATATTTGTTAGCTTACAACGAAAATATGAGAAGTTTCGAAGAAAAGATGAGAAACGTGATAAGAACTGGAGTCCGTAATAAAAGGGATAAAGATTATGCTAAAGAACAGGCAGAAAGAGCCGCTGCAACTACACCAAAGAAGAAGAAGATGGTTCTCAAAGAAATCTTTCCTAATGAGTGATTAATATTAATTAGTTTCATCTTCTAAACTTTTTTCTGTACAATACTATCAAAATTTATAATAAACAATAATCAGTTATGCTTGTAAGGTATTTATGGTTTTAACCTTTGAGCCATTGGTGGCACTCTGAGTACTTCAAAGATGTCTTTATACTCGTAAGCAAAATGTAAGATTGAAGATCCATAGTTCTTCATATAAGAATGTTCAGATGATTCATAAAGATTAGCAGGTTATGAGTAGGTCTACGAGAAGTTTATGAATATGGGTTGAGAGCCATTGTTTTAAAGATGGTACAATATTAATATTTCTAAAACTACAGGTTCTACCTCTTATAAAATTCTTAATGAATTCCTAGATTAATTTTAATTATGGGCATACCTAATGGCATCCTTCTTTAGGATTTCTCCACCAATATATTTTTTTTTGTATCTGTATGAAGCTTGCAAATAAATTAAGATGGAGACCTGAAAACTGATCGAAACGGATTTAATTAAATATTTAATTTTACTGTTTTTAATTAAAATTTTGATTTCTTCGTGTTATACGGAAACATATGGAAAAGAATGTAACAAAACCCCATAATTTAACACGGTTCTTGAGTTCTACTCACAAATTTTCTATTTTTACTAGTACAAGGAAGGAAGATTGTTATTATTAAAGGGTAAGGGTATAAACACGAAGTGTGAATAATTACTCAAAGTACCTAAAATTCTGGGAATTAATTTAGATATTTTTAATTCTAAAGATAAATTAAAAGAGGAAGATTAATATAATAATCACGAAAACTGAGTTATCATTTTGTTAGATTTGTTGTGGTCCTGAGTTATAACATATAACAGGTCCTTCCCGTCTACCAAATAATGGTACATTAAAAACTACCAAACACGCACGAGTCGTGGGTTCGATCTCCACCAACAGGCTAGCCACGTGTTTCCCGGATTTTCTCCACGTTTCTAACACCTAAATAGGAACCAGTTTGTTACAAATTTTCTCTGCGATGATTATATCCCGAATTTAATCCCGAAAGAAAAAGTGTAAAGGAACCAGATAGGGCATCTTGATGGCAAAAAATAGGGCTTTCTCCGGAAATCATGGTTGATTGCATTTCGAATATTGAAAATGTAAACGGGGAAGTCATTCAGTGGCCCGAAACAAACTACTAATGTTTTCACACAATTTAATACAACATATAACAAAGAGATCGTTTCCCAAGTTGTTTGACATTGAAATCATGGGCACCTTTCTCCATAATCCTGTATTTAAGTATTCAGAATCACTTTTTTTTCCATTTCGTTTTCCTTTCACCTGGTTTTTTATTTTGAGAAACAGAAATGTCTCCTGACGCCAATAAAAAGTACCCATTTCAAAATTGTAATCTCGTTTTATTTAGAATAATCTCCCTCCTACAGAGGAATGACATGACTTTACCACGAATCAGAAATCATGAAAATTTAAAGAAACACACTCCAGTTGTTTCACATATCACAAATTACCTTTTCGTTTCAATGAGATTGGCATTCATGCTGTTGCAATAATGAAACAGAAGAAACAATACATCGAAAGCATTATTAAGACAATAATAGAGCAACGAAAATCGAGTAGCAACCAGTATGGAATATCTGAGAAATCTTTTTGAAGTGACGAAAGATGAACTCACATGTCCCGAGGATGCTCTGGTACTCTACATGCATTGCGTTGCCCTATCCATGAACATGCGTCTAGTGGGTATCGGAGCGGAATGGTCTTCCCAATGCGAACAGATAGAATCGGGTCGTTTGCCAGAAGGTTGGAATTCGAATCGATTGCATTATCGTATAAGATACGTGGACAAATATGAGGATCGATACCTGCTGCACGTGTCTAATAACGAAAGCTGCAAATATCTGTTTGTTTCTTGGGCCGATCCAGATACAGAAGATATCTACGTTAATACGTTTGTAACAGAAGAATATGCAGGAGATTGTTGGAAAGAATATTTGTTAGCTTACAACAAAAATATGAGAAGTTTCGAAGAAAAGATGAGAAACGTGATAAGAACTGGAGTCCGTAATAAAAGGGATAAAGATTATGCTAAAGAACAGGCAGAAAGAGCCGCTGCAACTACACCAAAGAAGAAGAAGATGGTTCTCAAAGAAATCTTTCCTAATGAGTGATTAATATTAATTAGTTTCATCTTCTAAACTTTTTTCTGTACAATACTATCAAAATTTATAATAAACAATAATCAGTTATGCTTGTAAGGTATTTATGGTTTTAACCTTTGAGCCATTGGTGGCACTCTGAGTACTTCAAAGATGTCTTTATACTCGTAAGCAAAATGTAAGATTGAAGATCCATAGTTCTTCATATAAGAATGTTCAGATGATTCATAAAGATTAGCAGGTTATGAGTAGGTCTACGAGAAGTTTATGAATATGGGTTGAGAGCCATTGTTTTAAAGATGGTACAATATTAATATTTCTAAAACTACAGGTTCTACCTCTTATAAAATTCTTAATGAATTCCTAGATTAATTTTAATTATGGGCATACCTAATGGCATCCTTCTTTAGGATTTCTCCACCAATATATTTTTTTTTGTATCTGTATGAAGCTTGCAAATAAATTAAGATGGAGACCTGAAAACTGATCGAAACGGATTTAATTAAATATTTAATTTTACTGTTTTTAATTAAAATTTTGATTTCTTCGTGTTATACGGAAACATATGGAAAAGAATGTAACAAAACCCCATAATTTAACACGGTTCTTGAGTTCTACTCACAAATTTTCTATTTTTACTAGTACAAGGAAGGAAGATTGTTATTATTAAAGGGTATAAACACGAAATGTGAATAATTACTCAAAATATCCAAAATTCTGGGAATTAATTTAAATATTTTTCAATTCTGAAGATAAATTAAAAGAGGAAGATTCATATAATAATCACGAAAACTGAGTTATCATTTTGTTAGATTTGTTGTGGTCCTGAGTATAACATATAACAGGTCCTTCCCCTCTACCAAATAATGGTACGTGTAAAAACTACTAAACACACACGAGTCGTGGGTTCGATCTCGACTAACAGGCTAGCCACGTGTTTTTCAAAGTTTCTACACGTTTCTAACACCTAAATAGGAACCAGTTTCCCTATAAATATCCCGTCCAGCAGGAATCGCCCACGTGTCCTTTGAGGTATAGAAACAAAATAAATAAACAAACCCGTGTATTTCCCCACTGATTCGACCTTTAACCACCAAAATTTAATACCATCGATGTCCTTTATATACAAGTTACCGTACTAAATTTCCTATCTTAATTTAATCTTTAATCCTGAGTTATTAAACGAAACACACACACACACACACACACACATAGAATAGTCAGTTTTTTTTATGTGTTTTTGGTTTCAAGGGTCTCAAAACATGGAGATTTTAAAAATCCAGAGGGTCAAATGTAACAGGATTATAATATTTGTCGTAACAATCGGGAATTAACCTGTGTTATAACAGCCAGAAACTGAGACGATTACAATACTTTCCCGTGTTGCTATACAGTAATGGGAGGAAAGTGAAATTAAAAAATAAAAATAAAAATAGTCCAATTAACACTTCTATACAATTATTTAAGTTCTTTTTTAAATTAAGAAATAAAATTTCTTGTTATTTTGAAAGATTCTTATTAAAAATTGCCAGGGGTCTCAGTTGCTGACGTATGTACATCGACACTAATAAAACAATGCGATTGGTAGAATAATTTTTTAAAAAATTTAATTGTTAATGAAATTTATTCAGAATTTTCTGGATTTCTTTCCAAAATGCAGGAAATTCTCTACCGTTTAGTTTTATTGTTAATTTATAAAATATATGTTACTATTGATCAATAAATCATCTAAAAAATAGAACTCTTCTGTCTTATTTTCATTGTATTACATCCTGAATAAATCTATGGTTTCCTATGTATTGTTTGCTACTTATATATACACGAACAACTGACAATTTTCTATTGTTGAGCAGGATCATCGCACGATCAACAAATTCGAATTCAACTTAAAGGTAAGCATTTCTAAGCTCAATTTCATTTACGTTTCTGTTCTAATACTTAAAATTTATGTTACTCTGCTGGGGTGGTCTCTAAAATACAGAAAAAGTGGATAGACAGCTGCACATATTCTTCTGAAGATCATCTAGAAGACTTAAGCTATAATCATATTATAGAGTTTCACGTATAAGTATTAAGGGGCTTCCATCCTCATCAATGAAGTAGTAGTGTTGGGGAGTGTTTACTTTATAAAATAAAAAAAAAATTGCATACAATATTACCTAGTTGATAAATTACCGCCTAAATCCTATCCAAAATAACACTTTAGATTAATTAAAAAGCCTGAAAATAAAGGTAGAAGCCCTCCTCAAATTCTATTACTCAATTGGGGAGGCGAATTGTGAAACTCTAATTTAATGTTTTCTTTCCAATTTGTAAATTTTAGCACCGTAGATTTAATCTACCAGCAACGAATTATCTTAAAAAAATAATAAAGGAAATATTTTAGAAAATAATAAAGGAAAGTTTAATATTTTCTTGCATTGTTCTTCGAAAAAAAATATATTGTTTTCGCTTCCATAAATGTTCTATTTAATGATTTAATATAGAAAGACGTGTCATTGTTATAATATAATATATATACGTTTTTTACTTATAACTTGCGTAATTTTATATTTTACGTGTTAATTGTTTTCGAAAAGTAATTTTTAATTAAATAAAAGTTTTCGAGTCGAAAAAATTAATTAGAAAATTCTCCGAAACATTCTTAGAAATCTAACAAAAAATTTGACGTAATTATATATAAATTTTACTAAAATAAGAAGAACACAATAGATATGTCCTGTGTGTCTGAGCTATTTTCTTATTTTTTATAAGAAATGTAAATTTTTTGTAAGAAAATCTATCATCCTTCATCCATGATGGTGTGGTTGAGATGATGAATTAACGTGTATAATTTTTATAAATAAATTAAATTAAACATTATAAACTGCATTTTTTTCCAGAATTACAGATGAAGATCGCACCAAATTTCGGTATTCCATTAGGAATATGCATCGTATTAGTGTCATTCATTCAGAGCCAAAGTGTGCCCATCCGCAACAAATTTATAGGGAAAACAATAAGAGTTCTAAATAAAACTGTTGACGCATATTTTGGCATACCATTTGCAACTCCTCCGGTTGGAAAGTTGAGATTTCGTGCACCTCGACCTCTTAGAAATAAAGATACTCCATACAATGCAACACGAAAACCTCCTTCCTGCATGCAAGACTCGCCGTATGTTATCCTCGAATGGATCGATCGTTATCCAAAAGATCTCAGCGAAGATTGCCTCTATCTCAATATTTGGGTTCCCACTTCTAAACCGGATAAACCATTCGCCACTATGGTTTGGATTTATGGAGGAGCATTCATTCTTGGATCCAGTAATATGAATATTTACGATGGTGCAGTTATAACGGCCGTAGGGGATGTCATTGTAGTGTCTTTCAATTATCGCTTAAGTTCCTTTGGATACGCAAATTTTAATGAAGAAGATGCTCGAGGAAATATGGGAATGTTAGATCAAGTCATGGTTTTGAAATGGATTCGTGAAAACATAGAGATTTTCGGTGGTGATAAAGATTTGATAACTATTTTTGGTGAAAGTGCAGGAGCTATTTCTGCAGCACATCATTTAATCTCACCTCTGACTAAAAGATTATTCAAGCGAGCAATCTTGCAAAGTGGAAGCAATTACCTTGACTACTTTGCTGTTAATCCAGCTTTTAATATAAGAGTAACTTCTAAGCTCGCTCAGGAAGTAGGATGCGACAGACATAATATGCTTAAATGTATGCAAGATATGGATGCTTCTAAATTAGCAGCTGCAGAGAAAGTAATCCAGAAACGTAAGAACGTATTCATGCTTTTCCATCCACAAATGAGTCCTCCATTTCTATCAGAGGATTCATTTTCTGATGTTGACAATGGTAATTTCCATGACGTTGAAGTGTTAATGGGAGAAGTCAAAGACGAAGGTTCCCTATTTGTAGCCGCTCTCAACCCAGAATTACTGATTCACAATGTACCAGTTTTCACAAAAGATGATGCAAAGAGCATTTTGGGTACATGTTACGAACTGAGTGGAGAATATCTAGATGCTATTGCTGATCACTTTTTTGGTAAATTAGCCGACGATGATTATTCTGGTATTCTGAAACAGACAATTAAAGGTATAGGAGACGTGGTATTCACGTGTCCTATATTTCACTTGGCCGAAAAGCTTGCTGAATACAATCGAACAGTATACCATTACACATTCAATCACACTCGAATCAAATCCATATTCAAGAAATGGATGGGTGTACCCCATTTCGAAGATGTACACTTCGTATTTGGAAGACCTTTGATCAAAAGGAAGTCTTTCACACCAGAAGAAGCGGAATTCAGCAGGATGATTATTGAATTATGGACCTCTTTTGCCAAAACTGGGTAAGAACTATTTTACAAAATTACAGGACAATATGTAGAGGTGCTTCTTTCTCTATAATGCTTATAAAACATTGGAGCATTATAATAAAATTTATTTATTTATTTATAGGAAACCTTCTTACAATGGAATGGAACAAGAATGGATACCATTTGACAAAGAAAATCGCAATTCTTTGTCACTTACTCTTGGTAACATCCATCCAGTAAAGGCTGAAGAAGTTGAAAGATGTACCCATTGGAAGAATTTCATGAAAGAATACTCTGATAATATGTTTAAGAGTTAATTACCTTTTGAAATTTCCTACCTGATACTAATTTAACTTAATATAAAGCATTTTAAAGTATACTTGTAATACGATTCAGAACATTGCTCGCCAGTTACCAATTGTATAATTATGAAAGAAGTTTTCTTCAATATACAATGTTATACGTGTAGATTATACCCTCGGTTAATCATCTTGTAGCTTTAGTTTAAAGTCCTTTATCAATAAACGACAATTTAAACATGTTAAAGTGTTTACTCGAAAAACTTAGAACCATTCTGGTTACACACAATAAATATCAATAATTGAGTATATTTTCTTACTTTTGAGGTAATAAATTTCCCATACCCATCAAATTATAAAGAATATTTGAATTTTAAATGTAGTGATTGAGTTTAATTTAAGAACTATAGTTTCTTTACAAATGAAGGAAAATTAAACACAGTAATTAACACATATACACAAATTATCCTCCTTTTATAAAATGCAAGGTTGTATTCTATACAAATTCTAAATAAAAGTTTACGTGATCAAAAAACTCGACCGTTTACTTAAGGTAGATTACTTTTTTCAAGTTATATTTTATTATTCTATTGTGTTACACACCCAACTATACCTCAAGGCTGTTTAGAGATTCATCCAACCGGACACACGTGGTCATTCCTTATTGAGAAAATATAAATCATTGGATAGAATTTACATAGAAGCTCTGTCGTTTCCATCTTGTAAGCATCAGGTGAGTTTTTTTAATGGTTCTTCTCTTGAATAGATATAATACAGCGTGTCCCATAAGTTAGTTAGACACGTAAATAAAATGTAGGATGGCCTAAAAATGAGTTAACCGTTTTAAAAATCATACTTCATTCAAACACTTGAAAATACTTTTATGTCTTCAAGACATTATTCTACTTGAGAATTGAGCCTTTAATCGTTTGGTTAACTGACTTTTGGGCCACCATTTTGAATTAAGTTCCGATATTTTACATATAATTATTTATTTCAGTAATATAATTGTGAGCCACTTTAAGGTATTCGAAGCATTAAAATTAAATTTCTAATTAACTGTAAACAGATAATCCCCATTCGTCTTTAATGACATCAATGTTGGAGCATTTGTCGCAATTTTAATGTTAATTATGTATTTATAAATTTTTAATTAATTTATATATAAAAAAATAATAATAGTAATAAATTAACGGAATAAATAACAAGTTAAAAGTACTCCTCATTCTTCTTTCGCATTCTTAACCTGGATATTCAATGACAGATCGACCTTGTTCTATTTATTTTACCTTCAATAAGTAATCATGTGACATTTAAACAATTCTCATCTTTAGCTTCATTAAATTACAAATATATATATTTATATTTTACAATTAATAGACAGACAGACAGTCAGACAGACAAAAACTAACCATCTTACTTACATTTATACATTTATTAATTCTGTCGATATAGAGAGGTTAATTATATTATAACGCGGTTTTTATCCCGGATCGTAGCTTTATTCAAAGCTTAAAGCGGTAAATAATGTTAAAAAGAAGCCCAATGTCGCGTTATAACGCGATTATACTCGTTGTAACAACAACATAAGATTGATATTTAAGCTTGATTCATAAGCAAATCATAGTAATGTATATCGTACCTTATCAAATTTTAATGTTGTGAATACGTAATATGACGTCAATTACGTTCAACCCTGTCGCAACTTCCTGTTTTATTAACAGTTGTGTTTCTGTATTTTTAGTTTTAAAACATGAAAATGCCGCGTGGTTACTTTACTCCTGTGCCCATCAACTTCCAATGATATTTGTGTTGCGTGTGTATAAACAATTTATTATACCAGTTATATTCGTAAAACAATTTAAATCACGTAAATGTTTTATTGTATGACAGTAAATTGTTAATATCACGAGACGTTATTAATCAATTTCTATAACAAAATCGACATTTTCAATTGTTAAATGCGTTTTTGCAAAGCGCGGGGCATTCAGGAGGAAAGTCGTGCGATGGACAGATTATTTCGTGAGATATAAACGTTTTAACGCTTGTTTTAACATTGATAACAGATTTTTATTAATTAATATTTTCCGTTAGACATGAAAAAAAAATTAATAATAATTTTATAATGACTTAGAAAATAGGAAAACAATGGAATTAGCCGTGCGTGTATTTATAGAAATATAAACAAAATAATAAAAAGTTACTGGTGAAGGTCAGTCAAACTAAACAGAGATATATTCATGATGGCTCAAAAGTCAGTTAACTGTATTTTTGAGTTTGCAATTAAAAATATTTGAATAAGACTACATGCTTACTGCTAAGTGAACACGTGTTTTGCTTTCTCTGGATCCTCATCCAATACTTGGGTGCATTTCCATCGATTTAGCTACTGATTGCAGGTATTCGATTGTAACCCTTTTACTTTATATATGATTCTTGGTGGGAGTTTTTATTCTGAGAGATGCAGCAAATCATTCACAGAATCACACAATAACGGTTAACTCAATTTTGGGCCATCCTGTATTCAAATTTTCACCTAAAAGTAATTCTAAAACTAATATTTATATTTCAGAAATACATATGATGTCGATAATCATATTGGGACTATGTATATTTGGATGCTTAGTACAGAGTCAAGACGTTCCCACACTTGGTCAAGTATCAGGAAACACGATCAAGGTTTTGGATAAGTATGTTTATGCCTATTTGGGCATACCTTACGCTATGTCTCCTGTAGGCCTACTAAGATTTCAAGAACCACAACCCACAAAAGCGTGGAATGATGTTTATAATGCTACAGAGAAAAAGGCATCTTGTATGCAAGATTCAAGTCTTAATTCCGGAGAATGGCTTAATCGCGATCCAAAAGATATTAGTGAAGATTGTCTTTATATAAATCTCTGGATCCCAACCGTTAATGAGGAAGACAAACCATTCTCAACTATGGTTTGGATACATGGTGGAGGATTCCGCAGTGGATCCTCAAACATGGATGTATACGATGGTGCCCTTCTGGCATCAATTGGCAACGTCATCGTGGCATCATTTAATTATCGTTTAGGTGCATTCGGGTATGCAAATTTTGATCACGAAGAAGCACGAGGAAATATGGGAATGCTGGATCAAGTTATGGCATTGAAATGGATACATCAAAATATAGAAGCATTCGGTGGGGATAAAGACACTATTACAATTTGTGGAGGAAGTGTAGGAGCTACATCAGTTGCTCATCATTTACTTTCACCTTTAACGAAAGGACTGTTCAAGAGGGCTATACTGCAAAGTGGGAGCAATTATCATAAGTTTTGGGCTGTTGATCCCGAAGTAAATATTAGAAAAACTGAATTAATCTCGAAAGAATTGGGATGCAACGGAAACGAATTATTAAATTGTATGAGAGATGTGAATGCTGAGGATATTGCAACTACAGAGAAGAATTACTTCGAAGCTAAGCAAAGTATGTTCAGTTTTCTACCACAGAAAGGGAGCCCTTACCTTCCAGAAGATCCATTTGTTGCAATCGATTCCGGAAAGTTTCACGAAGTAGATGTTCTGATAGGCGAAGTCAGCGACGAAGGATCATTCTTTCTATCAATGCTCAAACCAGAATTCATTCGCGAAGATGACCCAAAATTGAAAAAGTCAGAAGCCAAAGACCTTTTAAGTAAATTCTACGAAACAGAAGGAGAATCTCTCGATCGCATAGAACAAGATTATTTAGACGTTTCCGAAGAAGACTACCACAGTATCCTCAAAAACACGATAATGGCATTTGGTGATGGTTTAGTTACTTGTCCCATAATTCATTTAGCAAAGAAACTTTCGAGTGGCAACCGAAATATATATCATTACACGTTCAATCACACTCGAATCAAATCGGGAACAAAGAAGTGGATGGGAGTACCACATAGCGAAGATGTATATTTTGTGTTCGGGATGCCTTTCGTGAATGAAGACGAATACACAACAGAAGAATTAGAGTTCAGCAAAAGCATTATTGACATGTGGACCTCTTTTGCAAAAACAGGGTAAGAATTTAAGATTTAAAGTGTAAACTACTTGTGTAGGATGTATTTAAGTATAAGGATAGATCAATAAATAAGCAGCTAAAAGAAGCGCATGGCTGATTGCCCTGGCAAGTTATTTATTGACCCACCCTTATATAATGATAGGAGGACGAAAGTCACTCTTTCAATATTGTATAGAACTTTTTAAGGTTAATGAAAACTCTAAAAAGATTGATTTTTATCACGTATTCTTTATATTTATCCGGTCAATTACGTTTATTTTAATAAATATATAGCTTAACCCAAAATTCAGTTAACCGAGTTATTTCAATATTATTTGTTTATTCTGCAGGAAACCTTCCTCAGCGAACGTGGATGAAGAATGGAAGGTATTCGACCAAGAAGATCGTAATTCGTTCTCACTTACTCTAGGAAACATCCATTCAGTTAAGACAGAAGTGAATGAAAAATGCAAAGTTTGGATGAATTTACAAAAAAATTAATTGATAATTCATAATTGATTATGATTTAAACGAGTTTAAAGATCTTTCCTTACTTAAAATAAATTATTTTTCTTTATGTTAAGAAAATATAATAACGTTTTAAATCTTGAAATTGGAAACTTCAGTTGTAACACGTGCTCGACCACGTGTTTCGCTGCTATCAGATTACAAATTATTTTATAGTGTAAAATCGAAAAAATAAAAACATTTTAATTACGAGTAAGTAATTTTATTCTAATTTTAATTTAAAAAAATACAAAAAAGTTGTGTATAAATAAATAAGTAAATGAAGAAGGATTTATTTTGATAGATTATTATACGTGAATTTGATGTCATTCATGTATATTTAAAATAATGATAAATAGTAAAAATGACGTAAATTGATGTAGGAATGTATCTTATTCTAACTAAAAGATCCTGTATTAAATAAAGAATAAAACGAATTTCACCTGTATCATTCTCACCTCTATATTAAATATAATCGCCTTGCAATATCCTCTCCTCAATATTAAGCAATATTGAAATGTAATTCCAATTATGTTTGTAATATTATCTCCACCCTCTGCCTTTCTCTTACCCCTCTCTTTTCTCTTTCTGTCATTCTCTCTCCCCCTTCTTTTCTTTCCCTCCTCTCTCGTTTCTTATTCTCTATTCTCTCTCTGTATGTCTATGTCTCACTTCCTCTCTCTCCTTTCTCTCTTTCTCTCTGTGTCTCTTTTCCACTCTCACCTCTCTGTTCCCCTCTATGTCTCTCATCTCCCTCTCTCTTCTCTTTGTCTCTGTCTCTCACTCTCTCCCTTCTCTCTCATCATAGACTATACATTACATCAAAATTATAATTAATTATTTCATAATTAAAATACATAACTTACCATAAATTAACCTAATTACAATTAAACTTAATCACATAGCAATTATAAACATAAAATGCAGCTAATGAGATTATTTTTGGTCGGAATATTTGGACTGATCTCAAAACCAAATGATTCAAATATAACCTCACTGTATATGTAAATGTAGTAGAGTAGCATTGTCGATGCTTAATGCTCTCCGGGATGCGGAAGAGGTAAGGTTCACGTGGCATGTAAAGGATCAGTTTGCTATATTGTTGCATAATTTACATAATAATTTAGTATAGTGAATGGAAATTATACTGTATAATCGAATGAGTTTAAAGCTGACTTAAGACTCGAATTCTTTTACCCACCTTCGTTTTTAAAGGGGGTGCAAGATGGTGTTTTTTATATACAGGAACAAAATCAAGTTTTGTAGGATAAGGAAGAGAGGCTTGAGAATTGTATTGTTACTCGTTGTTCTTGTTTTCACGCTGTGTTTCTTACTAGTTTACTGGAAACATCGGCACGTAAATAGTTTAATAGAAGGGGAACCTCCGATTTACGTCACCGATCTGTGTTTCGTATTAGATAAGAATTTATTAGCAGTGATACTAGTGAACAGCGCGGCGATAAACGTAAATAGAAGGCGACTAATTCGTGCCACGTGGGCTAACAAATATTTGTGTCGCGCTCTTAAAATAGCCGTTGTGTTTTTGGTGGGGAGATCCGACGATCCCGTTCTCATGCGAGAGGTGAATGACGAGAGGAAACTCTACGGTGACGTCCTTCAAGTCGACACAGTCGATTCCTATCGCCATCTGGTGGAGAAAATAGTAAACGGAATCGATTGGAGTTTAAAAAACTGCCCCAATACAAAATACGTCACGAAAATCGACGATGACGTCTTCCTCAATATATTCGAATTTCAGAGGTATTTGGAGGAAACCATCATTCACCGGCAGGCGGCGCATTTTATATGCCTCTTGTGGCCTTCTATCGACGTGCAACGGGACACGTTATCCAAATGGTACGTCAGTTATGAGGAGTATCCGCATCCAACTTATCCACCCTATTGTTCTGGAGCAGCGTACATAATGCCCCACGGTGTGGCTAGCAAAATATGCCAACTGTACTTAAAGGAACCTATATTTTGGATAGAAGACGTTTACATAACGGGATTTCTAGCGGCACGTGGCAATTTGGGACACTTCCAAGCTGGCCATTTTTACGGTTTTGTGAATTATAAATACGATAATTTGATACGAGGTAATATTATATTTGCTCATATCAATAAGAACGAAACCGCAATCAAGAATAATTTGTGGAAAAGCATTCTGAATTACCAAAAACTGATAAACAATACTTTGATTGTCGCACCAGAAACTTATAAGGTTGAAATTCTCCCGACGGATTCGTACGATTATTATGAAGTTAATTAATTTAAAATTCAAAATTATTTAATAAATTACTTCATGTGTTGTCAATAATACTGCATAGAATATTTCTCTATAAAATGTATTTTAATTATTTCCATAGAATTCTAAAATTTTATCATAAGTTTCGAACATATACAACTCGTGTTTTCCAAACTGTAGTTCGCGATCTCCATTGATTTTTCGGTTTTCATCTTGGAGCAGGTCAATTTTTTTTTGTTAATAATTTATAAATTAATTTAAATTATTACATAGAAAGCTACGAAATAATAAAAGTGTATTTTTATATTGCAATAACTAAATTAAATTAAATCGAAAGTCAGTTAACCGCTCTTCCTTACTGTTTATTATACAGATTATAAAGCTTTATTATGTTATATTATAAGTTTTCAAAAATGCTTTGTTAGTTTGTTAACGCGAATTATACGGTTAACTGAATTTTAGGCCATTTTGTTGCTTTATAAAATTAATACTATAAAGGTAGATAAAGTGAAAAGAGAGACAAATAAGGATGCTTAAGATGTGGATTATATTTTACTGCATCCTTCAGCATCATCAGCGATATGGAGACAAGTTTAATAAAATTATTTAGCATCACTAGAGATGTGGAGTCGTGCTTTACTGCTTCCTTTATCATCATCAGAGATGTGGAGCTACATCTGCAGCATCAGTGATGTGAAATGTAGCGCTACACATCTCAATTATCCTTTAACATCATAGCAAAATGGCTACAATAATTTGACAGGAATATATTTAAATACTCTAGAAAAACTATTGTAGGGATTTCATTCCACTAATACTAAAGCCCATTTTCTCTTAACTTTAACACTAGTTATATATGGAAATTAGCGCGCTTGTCACGTTCAATTTTATTGTTTCTTCATTTATTTACAAAGATAAGAGGGCCCGGGCCCACTGGATCCCTTTATTAAAAGAATGTATATTAAGCAGTTAACTGTTTCAACCCCGAAAGTATCCTCTTCTGCACAGCTAAACAACAGTAAACAAGAATCATGATCTTAAACGTGACCCCTTTTCAGGAAAACGACCCAAAAGTAACGTAGTCAAAACTCGGGGTTGAATATTTCTTAAAGGGTCACAAACCTTTTTGATCGTAAATAGAGTGGACACCCTTGGGGGGGGGTAAAAACCGTCATTCAGATAATTTCAGAATATAATTTTGTCAAATGACGTATCAAACTTGTAGCCTTCACACCTTCATTAAAACCTGAACTTCCTAGGGGGGTACGTTAGATGCACCCTTCACTATATTTAAATATATGGACTCGTCTTTCTTGTACAATGATTGGAATTGATTTCGCGCCTCCGCACGATACTTTCCTGTATTGAAAAGTATAGGGTGGGAAAGAAAGTCACTTAACACCCCTGCAACAGAATAAAGAATGTACATTCAGCATATCATATAACGCGCATAACTTTATAACTGTTCGAGGAATGTCAATAAAATCTTCTTCCTCCTTTGTCTAATTCCTTCCTGACAACAGCGTATTGACTTTGGATACATTGTATATTTTATACAAGGAGTGTTAAGTGACTTTCTTCCCCACCCACTACTTTTCAATATAGAAAAGTATTGTGCAGAGTCACGAAATTCATTTTAATCTTATGGACTGGAGTTTCCTCTTCACCTCTTATGCAGTGTACTGTATTGTAGCCTACACTAAGGCATTCTTTAATCAATCATTTTCCATTATAGTCATCGATTGTCTTTGTAGTCCACGTATCTGAATTTATAATTTGTGGGATTGAAGTTCCATCCTTCTGGCTTGAATTTTCTTTACTATGCTTTATCCTTTTTCTTCGATTTTCACACGGCCCATTCCATTATATATAATTGTGTATTAAAGATCAAACGTTAATGCATCGTCTTTTCTAGTTATATCGTGTATTATTTTAAATTTCTTATCTATAAACCCAGAAAAAGACATTAATTTAAATAATTGAAAGATATTTTCGGAAATTTCTAAATCTTTATTTCTCACTTCGTAAATAACTCACAGCTTTCATGTTTTAATTAGCTAGCAAGGTGATGTTCTGCATATACACTTGAACATAGTGCAATATCCTCCATTGTGGCCGAATTCTCTGCAGCACTTCGAACAGTTTATGTAGTATCCATATTTTCCGCATCGTTTTAAATGTCTGCAGCTATTTCTGTCCAACTCCACCCCTTAAATGTAAAAGAATAAAAGTAGTTTAGAAATATAAATTGAAAGGAAGAAGTGTTTAAGGAAGAAGAAACGTCAATTCACTCCGTTATCAATTGCGCTTCCTATTGCTTATTTACGAGACTAATATTTTAAAAAATTACTTAATGAAATACTAGACTTTAGGAAGAAAACTATTTCCTCCTTTTTAATTAAATAAACTTATAACTTTCTCAGAATCACGCCTTAGAAACTATGAATTGTAAACTTTCTACACTTCTCCACGTTACAATGCCGCACGTACAGACTCGTGTGGTCTTAAAATATAATATAAAACAGGCTTTTCCCCTTTATCAAATAATGATACGTGTAAAAATGTCAGGCTTTAAATAGTATGTATGCACACAATCTACTATAGACACTTTGCAGATAAACTCACCATTTAAGAAGAAAGCAGAGAGAATTATCATCATCAAGAGGATATTCTTCATCTTTACGTTCAAGTAACAGTCGGTTGACGTCGAGTAAAGTATTGTTTCCTAGACACTGTAACAGAATACGAGTTGAATAGGCCTATATGCTTATTGTACTGTACTTATCTACAGTGTTCAAATTTAAATTATGTTTTTATCTCGTTCTTTACCCGGATGTATGTTTCAATATGATACTAATTTAGTAATTATAAACTGTGAATATCGACCTTATCTTTACTCTTCTTTCAGGAAGTTGTACAAAGTTGATATACTTACAGAAGTAAACTAAACACCACAATTCTCCATTACCTTTAAAATTACAATAAAAACATAGGAATATTATTTGTTATTTGTTTAAGCACTTTATTTGGTAAGCGATTGCAAAAATAAAGGTGTAAATTTCACCGTGTTTTTATGGATTACAAAGTCGAGAATACGGTGACGATTATTCTGCTTGTTGTGATGAATTCTTTCTATAAACAATGCGGTTTAATATAATACAAATAAAAAATTGTATTATTTTTTTAAAAAAGAGATAAAGTATTTGATGTAAAATCGTCCAGTACACCAGAAGTAATAGCGCAAAGAGCCATATGTTATCAACTCGCTGTTAATAAATATAATAATTGTTACTTTGCATTTTAAATGGAAAGGAACGATTAAGTTTCTAGAGAATGGCGTGAGAGGACAGACAAATTAGTATAAAGATGTTAGTTTAAAATAGTTTATATTTTCAAATTATATAAAATTTGATTTTTAAAAGACGTAAACAAATCACATGAATTGTATGGTATCTCGGGCTTTCAATGTTTTAATGCAGGCTTTAAATCATGTGTTGCATGGCTTTTTCCTTATTAAAAATAGTATTTCCACGAAGAGAAACAGGGAAGACAAGTCTTCATGGAGTTACTATTCAGTTATGTGATTAAAACGAAGAAAATACGAAAATTCCATATTATTTTAGATAATTTAACAATTCTAAATATTAAAACACATTGTGAATTTGACAGTGTTTGCAATATTTATATTCAACCAGGAAGCGAATTCCTACATTTGCAAGGAACACTCGGTGGCCCGGTCGAAGGATATTCGTCACTTGTAGCCCTCAGGGCTTCTTTCTTTTCTTTTAGTTTAATTTCCTGTTGAAATTAAAGAATAATATTAATAAATACTCAAAATATGGCGTACAGCTACAACTGCAACACAGAGAGCTAAGACGTCGGGGGCTCCTTTGGAACCCTTTGTATTCCGGGGACCTAAGCGATCGCTTAATCCGCCACTATCATAATCAAAGACGAAAGCTACAACCTCAGAATCAGAGCTGTGAAATGTAGCTACACATCTCAAGTATCCTTTAGCATCATAGCAAAATGGATACAATCAAGTAATAGATTAACACGGAGTGAGAATTATAGAGGCATAAAGAATTAGAAAATCTACGTAAAATTATATAATAATTTAAATTACATTTCTCATCTTTTAAAAAACTGAGATAGGAATTTGAAAAGTATATTGTCTGAGGTATAATTTAAATTGTTCTTTTGTTTGTTGTAATAATAAGGAGCCTCATACACGTCTTAATACAGATAGGATGTGAAATTTTATACAAAGAAATCTATAAACCCGGAAGAAGACATTAAATAATTGAAAGATATTTTCAGAAATTTTAAAAAAACTTTATTGTTTACTTCGTAAACAGCTTACAGCTTTGATGTTAATCAACTACAGGATTCATGTTTTGCATTTACACTTGAACATGGTGCAGTATCCTCCCTCGTGGCCGAATTCTCTGCAACACTCCGAACAGTTCTTGTAAAATCCATATTTTCCGCATCGTTTTAAATGTCTGCAGCTATCTTTCGCCGACTCCACCCCTTAAATTTAAAATTAAAATTTCTAAAGTTTTTCGAGAAAAATTTTAAGCGAATTTCTTTATTTAAATTAATTATTAACATAAAATTGAAGATAGTTTAGAAATATAAAGTGAAAGAGAGAAGTGTTTAAGGAAGAGGAAACGTCAATTCACTCCGTTATCAATTCCGCTTCCTATTGCTTATTTACGACACGAAAAATTTAAAAGAATTTAATTAATGAAATACTAAACCTTAAGAAAATGTATATTTCCTGCTTTATAATTAAATAAACCTATGACTTTCTCAGAATCACGCCTTAGAAACTAATGAATTGTAAACTGCCGACACATCTGCACGTTACAATGCTGCACGTACAGCCTAGCGTGGACTTAAGATTTTACATATAATGGGCCATTCCCCTCTACCAAATAATGATACGTGTATAAGGATACTAACAAGCAGCTATAGAAACACCGCAAGAAAAATATTTTTACAGGTAAACTCACCATTCAAGATGAAAGCTGAGAAAATGAGCATCATCAAGAGGATATTCTTCATTTTTGTATTGAAGTAACAGTCGATTGACGTCGAGTAAAGTATTGTCTTGTAGACACTGTAATGTAACAAACTGAGCGTTGGATATATGCGTATCGTACTTATCTACATTGTTCAAGGTTAAACTATGTTCTTATCTCGTCCCTTTCCCGGATTTATGTTACAAAATGATATGCATTTAGTAAATAAACTGTGAATATCGACCTTATCTTTACTCTTCTTTAAGGAAGTTGTAAAAAGCTGATATACTTACAGAATTACTCTAAACACCACACTTCCTTCCGTTAAAATTACGATAAAAAACATATGAATATTATTTATTATTTCTTTAAGCGCTTTATTTGTTAAGTGATTGCAAAAATAAAGGTATTTTCCACCGTATGTACAGAGAACAAAGTACAGAACGCAGTGACGATTATTCTGCTTGTTGTGATGAATTATTTCTATAAACAATTCGATTTAATATAATACAAATAAAAAATTGTATTATTTTTTAAAAAAGAGATAAAGTATTTAATATAAAATCATCCAGTACACCGGAAGTAGTAGCGCAAAGAGTTATATATTGTTATCAACTCCCCTGTTGATATATATAATAATTGTTACTTTGCATTTTAAAGGCAAAGGAACGATTAAATTTCTAGACAATGGCGTGACGGACGGACGAATTAGTATGAAGATGTCAGTTCGAAACAGTTTATAAATTATAAATTAAATAAAATTTGATTTTTGAGAGGCGTAAATGAACCACATGGCTTTCAACATTTTAATGCTAGCTCTAAAACATGTGTTGCATGGCTGTTTGCTCGTTAAAAATAGCATTTCCACGAAGACAAGCAAAAGTGTTCATGGAGATGCTATTCAGTTGGCTCATTGAACATGCAAAAATTAGGAGATTTTTTCATTTTTTGAAAGACTAACAATTTCAAATATTGAAACAGGTCGTGAGTTTGATCAGGTTTGCCACGAAACTTGGTAAATGGAATTGATTTATCGGTGACACACTGACATGTCACACAGGAAAACACCTAATCTTACCTTCAGTCATGTTACTTCGACATGGTATAAGAGTCAATGGACCGGGTTGAAGAAGCGGGCCCTCCATTTCTATTTAGGATCTTATTTTGCGAAACAAGTGTTGCAGGGAGAAGTAAATACTTGGTAATCTTGTCATCAATTGTTTTAGTTTCGGTATCTATACGAGACTGTAACGTTTGTTTTAACGATGGGCACGCCAAACAAATGGCAAGAGTTGCTTTGAGAAAAACAAAATTGGGGATGCTAACTTTACATATGTTGAGAATGCCCTTGATTAGAACTTGATATTTGTGTGTTAAACGTTAAGATGAGTTTTTCTTTTTAAATACTTTTTGCCAAGTTGGCACTAGAAAAAATTTTTTATCAACTCGACTCGATGAAAATTATTGTGTTCTTTAACAATAGCCGACACATAAAACTTACTGTACTTCATCTGTCTCTGTCCGGATTAGAAAAGTCAGTTGTAATACACACATACTTGTTTTATAAGTGACCACGAATGTCCTTATAGAAGTATGTGCATTGTCGTGAGGTGTCCAGTAAGAAGGGTTTCGCCGAATTACGAACAATAAACCTTTCGTTAAAATAGTTAAGTTCTGAATAAATTTTAACGAATAAATTATCACTCCCAGAGTTCAAAACTAAATATTTATAAAAATAAATAAAATCCTACATAGTCATCGAGGTGGTTGCGATAGTGATAATTACTTGAACTGGTTATTAAACATTACGTATTAAAAAAAAAAGTTATAAATGTGCCATTACTATTTTAAATAATAGAAATATTAATTCTATATTTTTGCTAATATAACATCATTTTCGTAAAAGAACAGAACTCTTACAAAAACGCGTAAATGAAAATACAGGAGCGATAATACTTTAATAGTTACTTTTATTCTCAACAGATGGAAGCAGGTAACTGGTCGCTAGCCAGCCGTATTGTGCCGCCATCTGGTGACAAAAAAAACAAATTTTTTGATACATTTAAACTAAAATTCAGTGCAGGATTTCTCGAGGAAAACGTTGTAAAAAAAAACTAAAACCTGCCACAAGTTTATAATTTAAAAAAACTTTTGATTTTTTCTCAACAATGTACGATTTTTCTACAATTTTAAATTTTTAAACTGTTTTCAGACCTCAAAAATATACCATGAAAACACTAAAAAATTACTACTAAATTCATTTTTTAAAGTGAAACTTTATTTATAATCATTTGAAATATGTTGAACAACTGAATTTAAATTTTGAAATGTTTCAAAAGAGTTTCTTTAATATCTAATTCATCTGTTAATGAATCCACGGATGCATTTAATCGCAATTAAGTGAAATTCTTAAGTATGTTAGTGTGTTAGCCAATTAAAATACAACACCCTACAAACAATGATTGCGAGTGTAACTTTTATATAACAAAATCTCATAACAGATGAGGCCAAATAAAAATTTATATTAGTATTAATAATATAAAAGTTATTTTTTAAAATTAAATTTTATACAGCCGGAAAAGTTACGCAACTTGTTGTTGGACTCTTTAAAAAGTCCGTTACTACATTAAAGTAACGAAACGATACATATTTTACGTATTTTACACTTAAATAGGAGGTGTTGTGTAGTTCGAATGGGAAGAGTCGTGAATCCGTCGATAAGGACGATGGGCCTAAAAGTAAATGCAATCGAGTCAATTTAAGAAACAACAAAAGATTAATAAACAAAATAAAGTAGTGATTAAAGACATAAGGGGATTAAAATATCACTATTTCGATGATCTACCTAAACACATCTCTAATAGACCGAGAGAGAGTTTATAAATATTTGGTACATAATACCTCTTAATGTGATGATGTCTTCGGTCTTAGGCTAAGTTCTATCGTCGGGACGAAGAATAAGAAACTTCATTGATCGGTGAGCTCAGCGGAGAGACTGGAGACAAGGAGAAATGATAAAAGTGGAATACTTTTTATAGATACAATGTAGTGACACTGTATAAACACTTGGCAGATTATTAATCACGCCAACCTAATACAAGATAAATAATTTGCCAAGTGTTTATACAGTGTCACTACATTGTGTCTATAAAAAGTAAAAGGAAGTAAAAAAACACGATTTCATTGGAATAGATAATAAAATAGACGAAGAGAACTTCGAGGAGACACGGACGTGAACAAGTTGTTCATCCTTTTTATCCCAAAATCTTAAATCGGCAGTCACTTTGTTACCCCACGTGACGGGATGTTAGAGATGATTCGAACCAACAGATGTTCATTAAAAATGTGGTATAAGATCTCGCCACAGGAAGTTGATTTTGCTTTCTAATTAAATAATTTTTTAATTTATTAAGTAATTAAATTAAATTCTAAATAAATATTTACAATCGAATAATAGGCTCTTATTTCTATACCTTCAGATTCTTACATTAATATTGTGATCTCCATGTTCCTATCATCTCTATGTTTCTATTAGGAAAGAAATGAAATCGCTATACCGAAAACATTTCTCAATTGTCTAACGACAATTTAACCTTACATTACGTTGTCATGTTCTCTTTCCCTTTCACCATCAACCCGTAATATTCCTACTTTCAAACAATAATCAATCGCTATCTGTTACAACGTATTAAATATACACTACCAATTCGAACACATAAAAAATAAATGTTTTATCATAGCTCGTCGCCATGCTATAATATATCACTTCGACTGCGACAGTAAAAAAACGGCCCCTATAAGAAATTCATAGTTTCGAAAGTTCCTTGTATTACGTCAAATTAGAATCGGTAGAAAAAGTGAGCAGCTACGATTACAAAATTTGTATTCATTTCTACCACTAAACACGTATCTTCTACCATAACGAAAATTAAAAAATTGTGGTCATTAAAGCGTCAGTTCAAAAAAATGTCAATCAAATAGTAAAGCGCATCGAAATTTTAAAGTCAAATATCTAGTGTATAGGCAGAGGCTTTATATACAGGCAGAGGCTAGCCACTGCCTGTATATAAAGACACTTACGTATATATATAGACGAATATATTTGAAAATGCATTGACATAATTAAGAAATGCACTCACCTCTCGTCGGGACGTCTTTGATTTAACGTATCTTTTACTGTTTTTTGCGTCTCTGACAAGAGGCTAGCCACTGCCTGTATATAAAGACACTTACGTAAATATATAAAAAAATATATTTGAAAATGCATTGATAGAATATAAATATGTTCGTATCTGGACTTACTTTCGATTTTTAGGATTGTATTACAGCGCTATTTTATTTTAGTTTTCGTCGCAATCGATATATGGATATTTTTGTTGCTATCTGGACTTTACTCTGACCTGTCTTACCTCATGAAAGCGCTTGGACATTTTAATTGTTGTCGCAGCTAATGTATGTATATTTTTGTCGTTATTTGCACTTTTTTTTGATGCATCGCACTCGCGACACACTGATATTTTGATAATGTTTATTAACATTTTTTAAAATTAGAATTGTTTAGTTTTCGATGTTTTAATCAAAATGTTTCGTTCGAGGGAAATCTGTTTTTTACTCGTTCCCGATTGTTATCTATTTTGTTTAATATGTATTCGTATATTATTTCGACTTGTTTGTTAATATAACGTATACTTTATGTGTAATTGTTTTGTATTGTTGAGTTTTTTTTTATTCGTGTCTCTTATGCTAAAGTGGTATTTTTATATGCAGCAACTGATTTCGTTTATTTTCATAAAAAATGTGTAATGTTTTTGTGATAAAATATCAAAATTACATTATATAATTTATTATAAAGAATTTAATTTAAATCATATTATCTAAAAATAACAATGAAATATCGTATAGATTATAATTATTTATTATAGTTTTATGTTAAAATGTAAAATTAAAATTTGAATAAAAACTTATTTGTGATAATGTTAATAATATTATTTAAAATTTTTAATATTTTATGTGCTGTTTATTATTTAATTCGCATGTAATTGATGAACTGATGCTCAATTATTATGTAAAATTGCCATTTGATTAATTAGTCGATTAACTGGCATTATATTCAGAAAACGAAATGGTAGAAAACCCTAACAGGATCCAAAGATAACTATTGATAAGTATTGTGTATTAATGTTTTATTAAAGTTCTTACAAATAGAAGTATTTTGTATTGTATAACAATACATAAGACTTCTATATTGTATAACATTGTATAAAATTATCAATACAGTGACTCCCCCCTATAACACTGTTGATTATTCCGTTATATATGAATTCCATGTTATACGAGTCACTTAGATTTTACAAATACGTGTGCCGGACTATGAACGGCTCATGTATTTGCAA